TTATATTCTGGTCCAGTAATTTGTATGAATTTTATGAGCTAAAACAAATATCTTCAGTTAATAAAAAAAAAAATATTCTTCACGACACTATCTGTCAATCAAAGTACCCCAACTTGCCTCCCCCCCTCTTCCAACCACGCCAGATGGTCGGTCGGTCCCAACCCTCCCCCCCCACCCCCACCTTCCCTCCCTACCAGAGAAATGTTGGGTGAAAAAACTAATTTTAACTTTTAGTAACAAATAATACCTCAGACTAAAGTTAGGATAATATAATTGACATTGCTGGATTCCTTGTAAGACCAGGAATATTTTGAATATAAATGTCATTTATTTTGCACAAAAGATAACATATTTACTCAGAGTAAACATTAGATCTAAAATTTGTATGTCTAATGCAATATCTATGATGTTTATATTCAAAATGATCATCAAATTGTAAGAATTCCAGCAATGTAAATTATATTCTGGCCGGGTAATGTGTATGAATTTTATGAGCTAAATAAAAAAAAAAATTATACTTCACGCGTATATGGGTAGATGAACCGCGGAAAGTGAAAGTTCGGTTCTGGCGAGGCACCGAGGGGTTTTAATTCCCAGGGTCCAGGGATATAAAAATCTTTTAACTAGAAAATTAGATTACCCTAAACTTCATCTGGATTCCATAAAGATAGCCATGATATGAAGGCATCCAAAAAAAGGAGAAGGCTGAAGATTTTTGTTGCCAAACAAAAGCTCATAATGTCTGGTGCACTCATATGATTGACATTGCCTTCAAGATAATGACATTAGGATCATCACTTCAGATCCATTCATGTACAGTATTACCCCGCCTAACGCGGTTTCACTTAACGCGTTTTATCATATACGCGGTGCCTCGCCAGAGCTGAACTTTCACTTAACAAGGATTTTTTCCACATATACGCGGTGAGTGTCCGGCTCGAGACGCTATTTTTAGATTTGCCCCACCCGCCACCCTGCCTGACTGCCTGTTTTAGCTCATAAAATTCATACAAATTACCCGGCCAGAATATAATTTACATTGCTGGAATTCTTATAATTTGGTGATCATTTTGAATATAAACATCATATATTTTGCATTAAACATACAATTTTTAGATAAAAATTTTTCTCTAGGTAACTATGTTATCTTTTGTGCAAAATATATGACATTTATATTCAAAATATTCCTGGTCTTACAAGGAATCCAGCAATGTCAATTATATTATCCTAACTTTAGTTTGAGGTATTATTTATTAAAATTTAGTGGTTATCCCACACATCTCCTTGGGACGGTTGGTGGGGGGTGGGGGGGAGGGAGGGACCGACCGACCATCTGTTACCCCGTGAAGAATTATTTTTTTTTTATTAACTGAAGATATTTGTTTTAGCTCATAAAATTCATACAAATTACCCGGTCAGAATATAATTTACATTGCTGGAATTCTTATAATTTGGTGATCATTTTGAATATAAACATCATATATTTTGCATTAAACATACAATTTTTAGATAAAAATTTTTCTCTAGGTAACTATGTTATCTTTTGTGCAAAATATATGACATTTATATTCAAAATATTCCTGGTCTTACAAGGAATCCAGCAATGTCAATTATATTATCCTAACTTTAATCTGAGGTATTATTTAATACTAAATGTTAAAAACTCTGGAAGGGAGGATTGGTGGGGGGTGGGGGGGAGGGTTGGGACTGACCGCGCGGTTGGAAGAGGGGGGGAGGCAAGGTGGGGTACTTTGATTGACAGATAGTGTCGTGAAGATTATTTTTTTTTTTATTAACTGAAGATATTTGTTTTAGCTCATAAAATTCATACAAATTACCCGGTCAGAATATAATTTACATTGCTGGAATTCTTATAATTTGGTGATCATTTTGAATATAAACATCATATATTTTGCATTAAACATACAATTTTTAGATAAAATTTTTTCTCTAGGTAACTATGTTATCTTTTGTGCAAAATATATGACATTTATATTCAAAATATTCCTGGTCTTACAAGGAATCCAGCAATGTCAATTGTATTATCCTAACTTTAGTTTGAGGTATTATTTATTAAAATTTAGTGGTTTTCCCCCAAAAATTTCTCTGAGAGGGAAGAGCCGGCAGTGTAGTGTGAGAGAGGGGGAGGGAGTTGAGTCCATTATTTGAATGGACATTAACTTGGCGACTGTATTTCTCTATTTCTCTTAAGTATTAATTGTGTGCATGTACCATCATAAAATTAAGATGTTATTTTTACTACAACATAGGTATGTGCCTTCAAAAAGTGGAGTTTGGGGGTCGGGCCGGTTTCTATTGGAATTAATCCCATATGTTCTGTTGTTCACTTAACGCGGATTTCACTTAACGCGGGACCCTCTGGGTTCAATTGACCGCGTTAAGTGGGGTACAACTGTAGTCACATAGAGTGGAGCTGCTAACCATCTGTTCCAGCATTATGGACAGCTAAATATTCCTATGTCACTTTATACACTTGCATATAGAATACCGTACAGCCATACAGTCCCAGGTAATGGTTTTATAGATATAAAAGATTTATATTGCAAATTTTTTTACTTAATGACTTATGTTGCAGGTTACTTAACAAGTTAATTACCAAAGTAGCACTACCCAATTCCACAGCTGTATAATATCCCAGTGCATAGATCAGTTTATCTTTCATAAGATGATAATAGGTAGAGTGTAGGGATCTGGCTCAACACAAGAAGAGGATATTTTATTTCATTGGGAGGAAGTTGTCCAATATAAAATCCCAAGAAATTTCAAGTCAGAAGTTCACACTTTGTATCTCACCCTGGGAATCATCAAATCGGCATACAGTAGTACCCTGATTTACACGATTTACACGGTCAATTGAACCCACAGGGTGCATCGGAAAGTGAAAACCTCGTAAAGTGAACAACAGAACATATGGGATTAATTCCAATAGAGACTGGCCCGACCCCCAAACTCCACTTTTTCCGACACAATACCTATGTTGTAGTAAAAATAACATCTAAATTTTATGATGGTATGCTCACACAATTAATATTTAAGAGAAATACAGTCGCCAGGTTAATGTCCATTCAAATAATGGACTCAAATCCCCCCCCCCTCTTCCCAGCTCACTAGCTCCTACCTCTCTGAGAAATGTTTGGGTGAAACCACTAGATTTTAACGTTTAGTAATAAATAATACCTCAGACTAAAGTTTGGATAATATAATTGACATTTCTGGATTCCTTGCAGGTCAGGGAATATTTTGAATGTAAACATCATATATTTTGCACAAAAGATAAAATATTTGCTTTGTGTAAACCAAATTATTACATTAGAACTAAAATTTGTATGTCTAATGCAAAATCCATGATGTTTATATTCAAAATGATCATCATAATGTAAGAATTCCAGCAATGTAAATTATATTCTGGCCGGGTAATTTGTATGAATTTTATGAGCTAAAACAAATATCTTCAGTAAATAAACAAAGAAATATTCTTCAAGGACACTATCTGTCAATCAAAATACCCCACCTCTGCCCTCCCTCCCTTCCCACCCCCCACCTTCCCTCCCTACCAGAGAAGCGATTGGGAGAAAATAGTAAATTTACATTTTTAGTAATAAATAATAACCCAGACTAAAGTTAGGATAATATAATTGACATTTCTAGATTCCTTGCAGGTCAGGGAATATTTTGAATGTAAACTTCATATATTTTGCACAAACGATAAAATATTTGCATTGTGTAAACCAAATTATTACAGTAGATCTAAAATTTGTATGTCTAATGCAAAATCCATGATGTTTATATTCAAAATGATCATCATATTGTAAGAATTCCAGCAATGTAAATTATATTCTGGCCGGGTAGTTTGTATGAATTTTATGAGCTAAATAAAGAAAAAAAAAAAAAAATTATACTTCACGAAACCGTGTAAAGCGGGGTAATACTGTATAATATACAGGTACTCTTTTTGAGTTTAAAATGTACTTATCTATGATGGTTGACCATATTGGAATCCTTCCAGGGATGTAAAAGTTGACTACAGTCTCTCCTCGACTTACACATATTCGACTTACGACAACCCGGATAGACGACGGCCATGGTCATATAAAATATTTTTCACATTAGGTATTTTCGAGTCCTGACGTTAGTGATCGCGCTGTGTACTGACAAAATTTTCATTTGTAATTCCCTTTAAAATGGCTGGCAAGTGTAAAAGATTGAGTTCCCTTGGTGCTGAGAAGAAAAAGAAACACCCATTTTAGAATTTCTATGTATTATTTTTGCCTTTTCGACTTATGACCTGGTCGTCGGGACAGAACTCTGTCGTAAGTCGAGGAGAGATTGTATATGGAACCAGTTTTCTACTGGTCCTGAACAGGAGGAACTTAGATTCCCTGTGGGATTATATGGCTGGAATGAAGAGTAAAATGGAATTCAACTGTTGGGCCTGAGTAGTTTTGGACCTCACAAAACTGAATGTTAAAATTCCTTATGTTGATTAATGGAAGATGAAGCTTTATGGGAGTCATTTGATTGATCTCATTGTAGTTTCTGCAGTCTTCACTAAGCTTTCAGCAATATGGTAGAGATCGAAAGAGTTTCCTATATGGTAGAGACACAAAGGTGTTTCCTGTATGGTATATTTTGGGCCTTTCTTGAAAGGCAGTTAAGGAAATACACGGAGTTCCGTAAAGTGGCTCCTTCCCATGAGTTTGACATCTAAATTTTGCATGACTATACTCTTTACCTTTCTTTCTTTTTTTAGAGGACAATCTTGCCAGTGGGTAGCTTCATGGAATCTGGTATGAAAATAAAGAATACTCTGATTGTTTTATTTAAAATTTTTATATCCCAACTACTCAAGGTGGGGCTTGGGAGATTTTACCCCATGGACTTAATGGTTATAGAGAGTTCCATTATGGATATACAGTACAGTATACCTGTACTAGGATCTCAGGATGAATGCACTATTTTGTTTGTTTTTGTATTTCCAGGATTACTACAAAAGTGGACGAATGCTTGTGAAATTGGCTGAGGCAATAGGACGACTTGTTTTAGCTGGCAGGGAGCTGACAAGATTAGCTGGTTTTACTGCCCGAGTTCAGGAACTCTTAGCCGTCCTTAAAGATTTGAATACTGGGAAATATCAGCGTACAATGCTGGAAAGCAAATCCTCCAATGGTGAGTATCATAATGTGATAAAATGGTTATCAGTATGCAGTCTTAAAGATGGAAAGGGCAGTACATATGATGCATTTTTCCTCAACTTTAATTGTTACTAGCATACATTACTAAGTCAAGTGGCTCTTGTAATAAGGTCTTCCTCATTGATACTTAATTCACAAGAACTAGAAATTGCACTTAGTGGTATGTGCTTTACCTTTATTATCCAATTATGCTTAGCTAAGGTTTGTGCATCGCACTCTCCTTCTTTCATGTGTGTAATGCAGTATGGAAATAAATCTCGCACACCATGCACTGTAAGAATGCCACCAGAACACAGTTGGAGCTTGCTTTGTTAAGATGTCTCTTTTTATAGCCTTTATGTAGTAATCCCAGAATCCTTAGGCTTTAAAGGATTTTAGCCACCATGTTCACTAGTGAGCCAATAAAAAGCCTAGATAACAGCATAACTTTTTCAAGACTGCTTAGTGAACTATTTTTGTTCAATCCAGAATGCGACTCCTAACTTATACCTAGGTATGTGAATGCCTAGCATTAACTCGCCAGGCCAACATACAGGCAATTAAAACATCTAATAATTACTTAAAAATTTGTAATATTTGGACACGTCGCTACCTGGCATACTCTCTGATAGTGCTCTGGGTTGTCCTATGCATATAATTACCTCATCTATAATATCCACATCATGTCTTTACCACCCAACACCACATCCTTTATGAACCAATGGATCATAGAGTGTGAGCAATATTTTAAGTGTATTGTTTGAGGTAGACATTACCTCATTTGCTTGGAGCTACTGACAGACTCGACTAACAGTCTGTTTGGGAGTTATGGCACAATTACTGCATCCTCCCTACCAACTGAAATCTGTGGGATGAACTCATAACCAGTACCAGAAATACAGTTTGCAAGGTCTTGTGGCAGGAGTGTGCATATAACTTCAAAGGCTTTCTGGTGATGACATCAAAAATGGCACAAATAAAGTTTGGGGGTTTGAGGATTTGATAGATGCTCATGTGTTAAAATTGCTTGAATGTGTTTGTGCTTGTGGGAGTATATGTACAGTCAGCAAAAAATTCACTGCACTTTTATGGTGTTATACAAGACACATTAGACAAAGAACTCTGAACAAGATGGGTTGTATATGTATTCCTGTTAATTTCTCTGTATTAATTATATTTGATATACAGAATACATTATATTGGTTACACAGTGCATCACACACTCAGAAGTACCAACCTTATCAAATGAACATGGCCTCAGTCAGTGATCATTACAAAGGCCATCAGACCCAGGGGTGCAGATTTTTTTTTATTGACTGTACATACTACAGGTTGTACCTCTCTAGTCCGGCAACCTCGGGACCTGACCGGTGCCGGACCATGGAAATTGCCGGACCATGGAAATTCACCCTTTTCCTGGATAGATAGTGACTTGTGCTTATGCTTGGAAGCACTAGCACCACTTTCTCTGCATCATGGTCTCTTTGAAGACATATTGAAGGGTTAAATGTCGTATAGTAGCTTCTCAAATTTCGCGAGTTTTTAATTCTTAACGTATTTTGGAACACACAAAAAAATAAATAAATAAAAATTTTGACGGCGGAAACTTGAATTTCGACGGGTTTGAACGGCCCGCCAACGCAGAGACTAATGTAATCGTGTAAACAGCGTCATTTCTCTTATGTACAAAAGATTCATTATTGTTTATTACTGAAATGTCTTTTTATTGAATTAATGTTTGTGTGTACAAAATGAGCAATACAATTCATTAATAATACGTAGAATATTAAAACACACGAGGAAATGACACAGCATTGTTTTCGTTGATTACAAAACCAGTGACTGACTGGTTCTACATATAAAACTAAAAGAAATAAGACCTTGGTTGTAGCTGTAGTAAAATTAATATGTTTTAAGTAATGTTATTTAATGTTAATAAATGGAACAATAGAAGTAGCTAACGATAATGGTAAAGAAAAAAGAGAGATCGCATATGTAAGTGCGCACACGTGAAAACATATCGTCATTACTTTACATAAGAATATGAAAGCAACACTTATTTACTGTTCATATATATTTTAATTAATGTTTCTGAATTTGTTTTTATTGAATTAATGTACGTGTGTGCAAAATTAACAATACAATTTATAAATAATACGTGGAATATTAGAGGAGACGAGACGGCTGCCGGCATTGTTTATGTTAAAGCTTACGAAACCAGTGACTGATTGGTTCTACATATAAAACTGAAGAAAATAAGACCCTGAGTTTAGCTGTAGTAAAATTAATGTAAAAAAATTAATATGGTTGCTTGAAGTACAGGTAGTTCTGCTATAACGCGATAATTGTGTTCTTGTAAAATATCGTGTTATAGAAAATCGCGTAATAGAAATAACAGGGCTTATGGAGAAAATAGGGTTAGGTGCAGATTACTCGAAATCGAAAAAATTTAGTAGTTAGCCTAACACAAAGGATAGCACAGTCTAAATAAATGTTACATTCATATCTAATAATGAAATCATACAGTAAATTTAACACTTTACCTTGAAAAAATATGAATGTAACTTGATGGGGGAGAAGGGTGATTTTGAGGTTGATAACATCAAGCTTCTCTTCAAGTGTTATATCCTTTCTTTTACGATAATCACCGGGAATTCTATCATCAGAATGCTTTTTGGAGATATTCTTCTTTACCATATTCACAGTTAATACCACAAAATTGGAGAAATAGTAAGCAAAAATCGCGTTATAGCAAACAAGCGATCGCGTTATACAAATATTGTTCCGAATTCATAAATCGCGTTAGAGCAAATTCGCGTTATCAAAACACGCGTTATAGCAGAACTCACTGTACCTGTAATGTTATTTAATGTTAATAAATGGAACAATATAAGTAGCTAACCATTAATGGTAAACAAAAGTGAGACTGCACGTATGTAAGTGTGCACATGTGAAAACATATCGTCATTACTCTACATAAGAATATGAAAGCAACACTTATTTACTGCTCATATATATTGAAGGGTTAAATGTTGTACTCTGTATAGGCAGGCAGAGAGAGAGAGAGAGAGAGCAGCCGAACTGCCGGATGTAAACAAACCTTAATTTCCCGCGGCTTTGTTTTTTTGTTTTTGTTTTTTAAGGGGATTAGCCCACCCAGGCATAGGTCACTGACCCACATTGGGGCTTGAGGGGCAAAAATTTAATATTCCTGTAATAATAATTCACAAAAAAAAGAAAAAAAAAGAAAAAAAGAAAAGAAAAGCTGCCTATCTACCTATTGGACAAACTAAAATCGTTCCGGACCACGGGAGTTTCCGGACCACAGAATGCCGGACTAGAGAGGTACAACCTGTAGTGTGTGCATGTATGTGTTTATGTGAAGAAAACATGTTCCTTCACTTACAGATACACACTGTCAAGTCTTATGTGACCACAAATCAAGTTGAGTTGTTGAGGGCTAAGTAACATTGTAAATTATACAACCTATTTAGATATTATTCCAGGTAGGTTATAGGAAGAATATGTTTAACATTAAACTCCGTACAATATACTGCATATCAAAAGTATTAAAGAATGCTTCACATAACTAATATATATATATTTTTTTGGAATGAACTAATTACTTGGTATCCACACTCAGAAAACCACTGGCAACATGACTAGTCTCTGGGGCAGTTTGTCTTACAAACTAAACTGCACCATGAAACTAAACATAACCTGATGCTCTGATGACACGATGTTTAAATACTAATGTGTTTGCCTTCTGAATTGTATTACTACAGACTTCTTACAATGATCAAGGTTTGGCAAGATGCACAAGTTGCAATTGATGAAAAACTTGATTAAGTAAGCAGAACGTAAATGGGTAGTAAACACTCTACTTGTGATAATTACGTATTAAGAAATATGTTGGGAACATTCCATTCGAGTGGTGTGATGACCACAGGCCCAGTGGAAGCAGCCTGTCACCTGGCTTCAGTGAAGGAGGCATCAGGCTGTTCAGTAAATGTTATGTGAATGCACTGAAATTCCATCACCACTTGAACCAGACACTCTTAGACACAGATATGCTTTAAATGGCTAGTTATTTGAGATTTATGATCGGAGATTGCCTAAAAATATATATCTTGTGTAGAACTTAAATACTATCAGTGTGTAAAATATGAGAAAATAAATGTTAATGAGAAAGTTATGATATTGATGGAGGAAGATTCTAACTGGGAAACAAGACATATCCATACTGTTGATGCCAATGAGTATTTTTCATGCTTTATGATATTTCATTATAAAGCAATGTCATATACTTATCAATAACATTATTTTCCCTCTTTTAAACATTGATATTATTTAAGTTCTATATAAGAAATTTATTTTTTGGTAAACTCCATTTAAAGCATACTACTGTATCTGTCAACTCTTCCCCCATACAGAGTTACCAGATCACCTGCCTCGTATCATGCAAGTGGGTTAGGACAACCTTCTGCTGCTGATTGTACGTTCACAGTGATATGCAGACAGACAGACAGACTTACACACATACAAAGTGCCTCATTTGGGTGGTAGACCAGTTGATCTAATTACATATTTTCTCACCCCAGCCAAAAGGTAATATGATATATACAGTGTACTGTATTCCGGTTATTCCACTTGGATTGAGACACTACCCTAACCTGATGAATGATCTCATTTCTGCAGCTGTCCTACATTCCACAATTTTACCTTTTCTGACTCATCTGTAAATAACTCATACGTCACTGCCATTTTCTCTCCCATTCATCCATATTTGAGGATGAGAAAATAAAGGAGGCCCTTGACTTATGCAGGTTTGAGAGGATATGACTTCATCCTTCTCCTCACAGAGAATGTAACCATTGTGTTTTTGTCTATTAACATCATGGTCTTGGGAGTTAAATTTTTTTTTTTTTTGAGCAGTACATTAGCACTCACGCACCATGACTTGAGAAGGCATCAATGATAATCTCATTCAATTGGCACTGATGCCCCAAGGCATCATTCAAGAGAAAAAGAAATCAAGTACAGGTAATTAAAATTGAGGCTTGAGATTTTTTTGTATCATTAAGGTGTTTTGGCCCTTAACCATTGATTCTTGGTGAGTTAATGGAGCTGGAACATTTAAAAGTTTATTGAGTTTTTCAGTAATGAAATTCAACTGGTTCTTTTCTTAATTTATTAGGAAAATATCTTGTATACAGTTCCAAGTGTATATCACCGTAACTTAATCACTGTAGCTTTGAGTGTTAAATGAGGGTGGAGGCTATCTTTGAGTAGCTCTACTAAATACATCCGATTGATGTGGGAGTGATAGTGAGTAGAGACTGCTCGAGGGAGAACGGAATATATCAGATGTCCTCCCTCGAGGAAAGACGGAGCACATCAAGGATGGCTCTAATAACATCTTCCTCTCATCAGTGTTATCAACAGGCGGCCAGGGAGCCGGTTACTTATGCCTGACTAAGCACTAAGTGACGCGAGTTCCCGTGGACACACCTTATCACGTGCTCTGAACACAAACCTCATAGCTAGTGGAAGGTAACGGGGTGATAGTTATACAAGACTCATGTAATTACCCCACATTTATATAAGTACACCTAGACCCCGACTTATGACGGGGTTAGGGACCCAAATCCAGGTCGTAAGTCCGACATGGTCGTAAGTCCGACATAGATAAAAAAAAAAAAAAAAAAATTTTTTTTTTTTTAATAAAAAATCTACAATGAAATACAGTACAGTAAAAGTAATGAATAATGATGAATGGATACAGTACAGTGAAAGTAATAAATAATAAGGAATGGTTACAGTGTGACAGCACTTACCTTTAATGTAGTCAGCTGAATGCACATGGGGCCCCCATAATTTTCTAATTATACATGAAGACTACATTAACTGGAAACGTTTCGGTATAGAAAATGCGTGTCATTTGAAATTTTTTTTTTTTTTTTTTTTTTTTTTTAATAAAAAATCTGCGGCGGTCGTAAGTCCACGTAGTCGTAAGTCGGGGTCTAGGTGTACTTCTGCCTATGAGACGGGCTAAGACATTGCTCGGTCACACCTTCCGAACTCCTCGAGGAATAAACTAATCTTGGAGAAAAACCCTATACATATACCTACCCATGTTACATGCTTATGGGTGTAAACACTGAACTGGTGAAGCTGACACCTGAGGTTGAACAGCTACTCAAGCCCTAGTCTGCAATGCCTTATGGGAAAGAATATTATGTACAATGGCAAACTTGGAAGATACTGACTTACAATCACAAAACAAAAATATCACTTGCAAAATAAAATGGGAAAAATAAATCTCGCCTACTTTGTGTTTAAGAACGCACTTTCTTCACAACGTACAACTTTTGCTACTACAGTCATGCGCCGAAATGGACGTTGTCCGGTCATACATAAACTTTGTATTTATACTTACGTGTATGTGGAATACTATATACGTACATATACATTTTTACTCTTAAATCACTACTGTAATGTGATACAGGTGATTAATTTTTATCTGTGCAAAATACATGACGTTTATATTAAAATTATTCACTGTTTTACAAGGATTCCAGCAACGCCGGGCAGATGGGGGAGAGAGAGAGAGAGAGAGGGAGGGAGCGAGTGAGGGGGCGTGGGGGGAGGGGAGGTAGTACTTTTGACAGTTGGCACAAGTCCTGGTCTAACGCGTGTATATTTATCAGTTCTTAAGTGACTAAGCTTCTCTCTTATAAAAAGCCAGTGAAATAACCTGGGTGAATATAATTAACATTGCTGGGATTCTTGTAACATACTGATTAATTTGAATATAAACATGCTATAATTTGCACTAGACAAAACAATTTTAGTACTGTACAGTATTACCCCGCCTAACGCGGTTTCACTTAACGCGTTTTATCATATACGCGGTGCCTCGCCAGAGCTGAACTTTCACTTAACACGGATTTTTTCCACATATACGCGGTGAGTGTCCGGCTCGAGACGCTATTTTTTGATTTGCCCCACCCGCCACCCGCCACCCTGCCTGACTGCCTGTTTTAGCTCATAAAATTCATACAAATTACCCGGCCAGAATATAATTTACATTGCTGGAATTCTTATAATTTGGTGATCATTTTGAATATAAACATCATATATTTTGCATTAGACATACAAATTTTAGATAAAATGTTTTCTCTAGTAAATATGTTATCTTTTGTGCAAAATATATGACATTTATATTCAAAATATTCCTGGTCTTACAAGGAATCCAGCAATGTCAATTATATTATCCTAACTTTAGTTTGAGGTATTATTTATTACTAAAAAGTTTATTCTGGTTTTCCCACACATCTCCTTGGGACGGTTGGTGGGGGGTGGGGGGGAGGGAGGGACCGACCGACCATCTGTTACCCCGTGAAGAATATTTTTTTTTTTATTAACTGAAGATATTTGTTTTAGCTCATAAAATTCATACAAATTACCCGGTCAGAATATAATTTACATTGCTGGAATTCTTATAATTTGATGATCATTTTGAATATAAACATCATATATTTTGCATTAGACATACAAATTTTAGATAAAATGTTTTCTCTAGTAAATATGTTATCTTTTGTGCAAAATATATGACATTTATATTCAAAATATTCCTGGTCTTACAAGGAATCCAGCAATGTCAATTATATTATCCTAACTTTAATCTGAGGTATTATTTAATACAAAATGTTAAAATTTATTTTTTTCACCCACTCTTCTCTTGAAGGGAGGATTGGTGGGGGGTGGGGGGGAGGGTTGGGACTGACCGCGCGGTTGGAAGAGGGGGGAGGCAAGGTGGGGTACTTTGATTGACAGATAGTGTCCTGAAGAATATTTTTTTTTTTATTAACTGAAGATATTTGTTTTAGCTCATAAAATTCATACAAATTACCCGGCCAGAATATAATTTACATTGCTGGAATTCTTATAATTTGGTGATCATTTTGAATATAAACATCATATATTTTGCATTAGACATACAAATTTTAGATAAAATGTTTTCTCTAGTAAATATGTTATCTTTTGTGCAAAATATATGACATTTATATTCAAAATATTCCTGGTCTTACAAGGAATCCAGCAATGTCAATTGTATTATCCTAACTTTAGTTTGAGGTATTATTTATTAAAATTTAGTGGTTTTCCCCCAAAAATTTCTCAGAGACGGAAGAGCCAGCAGTGTAGTGTGAGAAGAGGGGGAGGGAGTTGAGTCCATTATTTGAATGGACATTAACTTGGCGACTGTATTTCTCTATTTCTCTTAAGTATTAATTGTGTGCATGTACCATCATAAAATTAAGATGTTATTTTTACTACAACATAGTTATGTGTCTTCAAAAAGTGGAGTTTGGGGGTCGGGCTGGTTTCTATTGGAATTAATCCCATATGTTCTGTTGTTCACTTAACGCGGATTTCACTTAACACGGGACCCTCTGGGTTCTATTGACCGCGTTAAGTGGGGTACAACTGTAATCAAATTAGTACATGTGCACTCCAGCTTTGCACTAAGGTTAATTTTTTCTATTACATTTCTTTTAGTATGGTGTGTGCATGTAAATGGATGAAAATAAATGAAGAAATCTATGTAAATCTACCCAAAAATACAGTTGAAAAACTTTTTTTTTATAAAATGTACTACAGTACTGTACACTAATGTACAACAATTTTTATCTCTTGAGCAAAATATATGACGTTTATATTCAAATTATTGGCTGTCTTGCAAGGATTCCAGCAATGCAAATTATAATCTCCTAACTTTAGTCTGAGATATTATATAAGATAATACCCCATAAGTTTCACTGATACCCCGGAGATCCGATGATCGGAAGAGGAGCAGCAGAGCTGTTTGGAATTTGGCGGGCAATGGCATGGTGCAAATTTTTGCCACAAGATTGCTCTGCGTGCTGCCTCTGACTCATTCTCGCCATTTTTGCTCTTGTTTACACTTAATGTGTGTCTCTGACTTCGTGTTTTTCCATTATTTCTGACTTCGCGGGCAGTTTGATGTGATGTGATTAGGCATAATAAGAGTGGTGATGGACCAGCAAAGTTTGGTAGAGACTTTAACTTGCCACCCTAAACCGTCTCTACCATCCTCAACACAGGTAAATAGCACTCTCAATTTATGGTTTGCATTTTTTTATTTAACGCTTATTATGTTTGCTTTTTATATCTGCTTTATTTACTTGTTTGACAGTGTGCACAACAAAGATATATCAAGGGTAGATGGGAGTTTTTGGAGGTTGGCTGGTCCCTAACCCCCTGAACTTGTTATGTTCTTATGGGATTAATTGCTTCGATAACTGTTGATTCACTAACCAACAACTTTTCCCGGCCCCTATGTGCATCGGTTATCAGGGTACACATGTACAAACGACCTTCAGCATCCTCATTCATCAATGATAAATTTAAATGTTTGTTTGACCTTAATTAGTTTTTCATGTATTTTATCTAATGAATTAATTTTCCCAGGAACTTAATCCCCTATTTATATTGTTGTTTTTTTTATGATGGGAATAAATTTATTGGTATAGTGTTGTTTCGTTTAAAATTGCGCTTTTCAGGAGCGCATGTGTGATGATAAGCAGAGACCTACTGTGTACAAATTCTTGTGTTTCATTCATGCAATTTTCTCATTTTCAGGTGCATTGAATACACCTCTAATTCCTGGTGCTGGTAAGGTCATCAATGAAGATAATGTAATTCGCTTTGAAAATGTGCCTCTGGTCACTCCTAATGGAGATGTATTAGTCCAAGAGCTGAACTTTGAGGTAAAGTCAGGAATGAACGTCCTAGTGTGTGGCCCCAATGGTTGTGGCAAGTCTTCTCTCTTCCGAATTCTTGGAGAGGTGATTATAGCTTTACTTTTTTAACACATCTCTCTATGTGGTTTGGTTATTGGCTATTTAAGTAAATACAGGGGGGGGTTTCATTATACGTTGGGGATGTGATTCAGTGTTTCAGAGAAATGTGACTTAAAGTGAAACGTTTCAAAATGAGGAATTTTTCCCAATAAGAATTAATGTGATTAGGTGTATAGTATATGCATTCCAAAATGTGAAGTAATACTTCTTGAAAACTCGGTATGTGTTGCTAGAGAGAGAGCTTTCGGCAATTCAGCTTACAATGGGATCATTATAACATACTGTACTGTACTGTACTGTACTGTACTGTACTTTACTGTACTGTATAGTATTTGATATGAAGATACATTCCTGACATTATTTGTTACCTTTGAGTGATACTGTATACTCAAGATGACAGCATCTGCTGGTGAGTACAGTACAGTGGTCCCTCGGTTAACGAGCACAATCCGTTCTTGAAGGTTGCTCGTTAACTGAAACCATTGTTTCAATGGGTTTTTGGGTAATTGGTTTCAGCTCACCGAAAATTGCCTAAATTCAACAAAAAAGGTAGAAAAGTACACTTACTTTGAGGCATGTATGTAGAAGGCTCCTGGATGGTGATGATGATGATGGGAATTAGAATGAGGGTGGAGGAGAAGGGAGTAGAGAAGGCATTGGGGTGGAAGAGAAGTCACCCCATGGGGCCATTTCACCCATAAAATTTTAGTTCTCTTGGTGTAATTCAAGATTATTTTCTTTAAATCAACACTGCACTGCATTATATGTTGTCAATATGTAAAATATATTTCAAAATGACCAATAATTTGCTTGTAAACACAGAAAAAAAGCATTTAGTTGAAGAGAGTCTCAAGCAAGATGTTACCTCCATTGAAAAGACACAAAGACTGACGCCTGTATGCTGTGTTGGCAGGCTGGATGGTGTGCCACAAACTAGTGACCTTACCTTCAATTATGTTGAATAATTGTTAAAATGACTAAAAAATTTAATATTAAACTTTTAAAATTATTGAATAGTATAAACTTCTTGATATTTACTAAAAGGGTAAGGAATTTAAGCCCTAGAACCGATTACTGTATTGGCGGACTAATACTACAGCTGGTGGACCGCCAAATGCAAGCTAAAACATGTGGAGGTTGGCTCGTAAGAAACTCGTTAATTGAGGGATTGCTCGTTAACCGAAGTTAAGAATCTTATGGAAGGTAACTCAATAACCGAAATCTCGTTAACTGAGGTGCTCGTTAACCGAGGGACCACTGTATATGTAGTTTAGTAGCAGTACAGTTAGTTCTGCTATAGCGCGATAGTTGTGTTCTTGTAAAACATTGTGTTATAGAAATTCGCGCAAAAGAAATAACAGGGCTTATGGAGAAAATAGGATTAGGTGCAGATTACTCGAAATCGAAAAAAATTTAGTAGTTAGCCTAACACAAAGGATAGCACAGTCTAAATTAATGATACATTCATATCTAATAATGAATTCATACAGTAAATGTAACACTTTACCTTGAAAGAATATGAATATAACTTGATGGGGGAGAAGGGTGATTTTGAGGTTGATAACATCGAGCTTTTCTTCAAGTGTTATAGCCTTTCTTTTACGATCATAACCGGGAATGCGATCACCAGAACGCTTCTTGGAGATATTCTTCTTTCCCATATTCACAGTTAATACCACAAAATTGAAGAAATAGTAAGCAAAAATCACATTACAGCAAACAAGCGTTTGCGTTTTACAAATATCGTTCCTTTATTCATAAATCACGTTAGAGCCAATTCGCGTTGTCAAAACACGCGTTATAGCAGAACTCACTGTATACAATATTTGTTTACAGCATTTATTCCAATTCGGAATGCAATTTTTTGCCTAGACTTAACACTGTAAGGGTTGTTATATCCTATATCCCAGATTCCTCTTATTCTCAGTTATCCATTTTCCTTATTTACCTCCCTCTCTTCCTCTCCTTATCTCGGTGACAATGGAGGGAGGATAGGCAACCCTTGGGAGTAAACTGAACATAGCAACCCCTACTCTTCCTCACTCAACTCCTTCCCTCATTAACCTTACCTCCACCACTCTTTCATCCACCTTCCACCTCCTATACCCTCTGTAAATAAGAACAAGAATAAGAGATAAGGTAAGAGAAATTATGTAAAGAAATAAAAAGAAGAAAAATAAAGAAATGCAGTAAAGAGTAATGAAGGAATAAATAGAAAGTAGAGATAAGAGAGAAACATTTTGCCTGTGGAAAAAAAGTAAATTTCTCCTTATATTCTCATATACTCTTGGCAACTTGGCGCTGGCTCGGTACAACTGTATCACATTCACGCCTCGCTTGCCTGTATAATATTTTTTTTTTTTAAACAAATTTATTTAACCAAATTTTTAGATAAACTATTTTGGATTATACTGTATTGTTAAAAAATGGTGTTTTGAACTGATTTTAAAGACTCCGGTATCAACATTTCTTATGTTTGTTCATATTAAAATCGAGTCCCCATCATTATATTGTCTCAAAATATTTTGTTTAAGGATCTTTTATTGAAAAAGTCTTATAGAGAATTTAATTGTGGGCATTATGGTATGAAATTCATCGCTAACACGATTAGAACAGATGCTGTGAATAAAAGTTTATACTCATTTTCACAAGCCACAAATATTTTTGTTCATGCCTGCGGTCTGCTGTATATGTAATGGGAGAGTGCTAGTCCATGTGAGATGAGATACATAGTTTAAACTCTCTTAGACTCATGGAAAACTTTCCCCAGTACCCAAAAATATTCCAGGGATGTGAGAGAGTGTCTGTTTGTGCAAGAAGCATAGTTTAGACACTCAGAAATTTTACCCATCACTTCATGCAATGGTTGTGTTCTGCAACAACACAGCATAATGGGAATCCGCCTATAGTGAATACTTAATCTTATGGGGAAAAGTAGGATATGTTTCACAACTACTAAAAGTTATGGAAAAATCATTACAATACTCTGATATGGGTTAAAAATGAAGATCATATAATATAAAACTATAAAATATAATATAAAACTATAAACTAAGAAATATGAAGAGCATGGATGTTTGTGTGGAATGTGAAAGTGTGTGTAGTGGCTGACTCACCACTCCAGCCGCGTCCCGTGACGTCATATACAGCTCAGTAGACATACACACACTACTACTACAGTATAGTCTCGATTTACGCAGATTTCGTTTACGCGTTTGGTCATTTATGCGGCACCTTGCCAGACTGACAATTTTTATTTACGCAGTATTTTCCATCATTTATGCGGCGAACGGGTTGTGCGCTGGTCGCCCTATTGCCACCGCTGTCCATACACGCCAATTATTATTTACGCGGTACATGCTTGACCATACGCGGGAAGCGGCGCGGGGAGGGTGCGCAGTAGGTCGCTCTTATGTTATCGCTGACGTCATATGACGGATCTGGCTGTGATGGTGGCCACGCATCCTTACCACCCACACATTCCCTCCACCGCTAGCTGTGATTGGTCTAATGTAACAGAGGGAATAAGTCGCTGACCTTACGTGCGCCAGTCTCATTGTCCTCAGTCACCGCATATACAGTTCTCTCTTACGCCCGCTAATCTGTTCAACAATGGCATCAGCTGGACCCCCACCACCACAGAAAAACCTTGAATTACCTGGACCAAGCCGCCCCAAGCCCAAGAAGGTGCGACGCGCCTTAAGCTGCGAAGTGAAGTACAAAATAGTTCAAGAGTTAGAGAATGGAACAAGGCAGATGGATCTGGCGCGATAGCATGGCGTTAACGAATCTACGATCTGCACCAACAAGAAAGATGCTGCCAAGATAAAAGAACAAATGAGCATCACAAAGTCTGCAGGTGCTTCAATGGTGAAGTATTGTCAGAAAAAGGTGCTGCTCAAGACAGAAAATTTATTGATGAGCTACTTGATTCTTCAGGCGAGAATGAACGTGGCGGTCGACACTCAGGCAGTGCAGGACTACGCCCGACAACTGTACGTGTCAGTGGCGCACAAGATGGGAATTGCAGAGCCCAAACCCTTCACTGCTTCCTCTGGGTGGCTGCAAGGTTTCAAACGTCGTAACAAGATTACGAACGTTGAAATTGTTGGTGAAGGTGCAAGTGCTGACCGTGCTGCGGCGATGGATTTTCCTCCATTCTTACGAGAAATTATGAAGGAAGGACAGTACACCGAAGACCAGGTGTTCAACCTGGATGAATCCAGGCTCTTTTGGAAGAAATTACCTTCCAAGACATTCGTTGTCAAGTCTGCCAGCAAGTGTAGGGGCCGGAAGTTACAGAACGAGCGCATCACCATCGTGTTCACTATTCACCATCAATGCCTCCGGCACCTGTAAGCTCAAGTTGTCTGTGATCCACACAGCCCGCACGCCTACAAAAACATGGACATGAGCAAGTTAAATGTCCACTGGCTAACTTCAAGGAAGACGTGGATGTTCAGTGGTCTGTCCCTCTCCTGGTTTGACGACTGTTTCGTTCCTGACGTCAAGAAATTCTGCGTGCAAAATAATGTGGCATTCAACATTTTGTTGCTCCTTGACAATGCACCAGGACACTTGCCCCTACTGTCGGATCGTCACCTCAATGTAAAAGTGGTCTTCCTTCCCTCCAACACTATGTCGTTAATCCAGCCCATGGATCAGGAGTTGATATGTAACGTCAAGGCTGCTTTCTCCCCAAAGAAGCTTCGGCTCCTGAACGACTTCACCAACACCGAGGATGAATTGCGGAACCTTCTGAGTGGCACCAATAGCGAGAGCGAGGACGAGGATTAAGAACAAGACTGAGCGGAACATGAAGTGCGAGTTAAGCAGTTCTGAAAACTGTTTAACGTCAAGAAAGCTGTTGATTTCTTGGTGGAGGCATGGGGGCAGCTGTCTGTGGCAACGATTCGTCATGAATGGCGGCATGTGTTGCAGAGTCAAGCGGTGGCTGGTGAGGTTCAGTCTGTTGCTGTGGCATTGGACATTGCAAGAGAAGCTGCACAGGGTGTTACAGCTGC